TCTATCTCCTTTTAAAAGGCACTCAGAAAGCTGCGCAGTGCGACCTTTCTCCGTATAGTAAAAGAAAATCAAAGTATGTGTGCAATACACATATATGTTAGAACCTCTATAAAATGTCTAACTGGTTATTATTATTTTAAGTTGGTACTGTACGATGATGCATGACAGTTGACAATTATTGTTCATTATTAGGTCTTTTCCTTTGCATCGAAAGTGTAGCACTTACGGCCATATGCACCATTGTCCAGCTAAGTCCTCTGTTATCTAACAGTAGTATAAAAAATAACAGTGTGTTAACAGAATTTGCTATGCACCATCTATGTACCATCTATTTACCAGTTTCAGTAAGAAATCAGTCTGTTACGTATATATTACTGTTCATATCCTATAAACCTTATATGGCCCTTCAAAATAAACAAGTAAAATTAAAATAGTCTGATAAATAAAATTAACAGGCCAAATTTGGTTTGTTACATTAACAACGCCTTTAACAGATTGTTAGTCGTATTTTGTAATGGTGAATACAAAATTGTCAATTTAACAGTCAGTTATGTAGTTAACTCTCCGATAACTATTAACAGAAGAATGGTGCATATGGCCGTTATACAATTTGTATAAATGGAACGATATTTTCAGAAGTGGTGTAGCTCAGTGCTACACTTTCGATGCAAAGGAAAAGACCAAGGGCGAGATTACAGAACGTCTGCAACTTTGCAGATCTGCAAATATGGCGGCAACTTTGAAAATATGCAAATATGATTGACTTACACATGCAAGTATCAAGTTTTCGTATTCCAAATTTGGGTTTAGTGTTGTTGGGGGTAATAAATCACAATAAATATTGCGAATTTGCAGATATTTTTTGGAATACTTGCATTTGTAAGTCCGCCATATTTGCAGATCTGCAAAGTTGCAGACGTTCTGTAATCTCACCCCTAATCTGTGGGAAGTACAGTGTAAAGATATAGTGAAGATTGTAATAAAACACAAATCAAAATCTAAAAGCAATTTTAAGCGAACTACCAAATTTTCTTGGTATTTAACACAAAATTTCTTGGTTATTGCGTGAATTTATGGAATGGGTTGGTATACTGACGTCACAAGTGGCATTCGCTTGAACGAAGTGGTAATAACCGTGGTTGTAAGTTTGTTTATTTTCAAATGTCAATTCTATTTAACCTATCTTTTTTGCCGTGTTTATAAAGTAGTGATATAGATTTTTATTTAAACTATACTGTTTATTATCCTGCAAGAAAGAATAAGATCCAAAGAAGAAATTATAGTCTCTGAAGTCTTTCCCTTTGCATTTTTAACTTATCCAATAATCTTTTACCACTTTTGAACACGATTTTAATGTTTAAAAAAGGCACAAAATCGGGTTTAGTACCGTATTTGCTTAGTACTAATCGGTACAAAACACTCACTCCAGTTGTAACTGTCAATTACCTATAACCAATAATCAAAAACAGCTCTGGAAGAAGGTAAATACCGTAAAATTTTGGTTATAACTTTGACAAAAACAGCTGATTTATGACGTCACGGATATATTACCAAATTAATAACCGAAGTCACTTGAATGTTGTAGTAATTACCAATCTCAAATGGTAAATACCAAATGCTTTTGGTTATTCGCTTAAAATTGACTTAAACTAAATCTTGATTTATTTAAGGTAGTTCACTCGCGACAGTCGTACATAAAAATATCGCGTAATGGCGAATACCAAAAGTTCGAGATTCTCAGTGCTAATCAATTTAATTTTTGTAAGAGACTGTACAAAACACATGTATATAAACACATATGGACATGTTATAGTTTTAATCATTTTCATCCGGCAATCTCGCAAATATATAAACGATATGGTATAGAAATTTGTGACTTCCTCATACTAATTTTTAGGGTTTGTTTTGGTTCAAACAGAACCGCTGATTCCAGTTCTTAAACACAGTGGACGAATTAGTTTTTCAAGAACACGTCGCGAGTTTATAATAACCTCTTAGCTGATCGAGTGTTACTTTGTTACGTGAAGTGGTTACAATGTTGCCAAGTTGTAATAATATTACTACTCGTCAACTCTTTAAAAATATTTTTATTTTAAAAATCTATATCTTTTTACTAAGACGGTCAAAAAATTCAGCGATTATTTATAAAATTTTATAACTTCTTGATTTATTTAACATTAGTTTTTAAAAAATATGGTAAGAACCGTTTTCGAGATATATTGAAATAAATGCATTGCCTGTGTACATGATGGGCTTCAAGAGTGTTAATTATGTACATTTTGATTGTTAATATCTCGTTTCACAGACGGTCAAAAAATCTAATTTTTTTTAGTTACGTAAACAACACTTTCATAAACCTTATATTTCAATTTTATTGAATTCTTAAGAAAAGCCGTTTTACGAGGGAACTACCTTAACTAATCCTGGTGGAAATTTAATCTGTGTTTCTCTAATATCAAGTACCCTTGGCGAAGTATATTACACATATAAAGTAAAAAGACACTTACAACTCCTTTGCATATGCTACTTTTTTCTACAATCATATAAATAAACCAAAATAATTAAGAAAAATGAAAATTTTAATAAGGCAAACCTCGAGAAATTTTAATTGACAGTTGATGGCAATTTTGATTTTGATACAACCGTCGTGATACTGAGGTGGTGGAATTACAAAACCCATCAAGATAGAATGAAGTAGAGACGATATAAATTCAATAGCAGATGGATGCACTTTTAGTAATGGAAAAGTGTAATCAAAATGGCGATTTCTGAGTCGTACCTAAGTTTCCATGGAAACTGAATACAACGTCATAAGTACTTGATTTCACTAGTATCTTTCAACAGCGAAAAATGTTGAGTGTACAACTTGAAAATGTAAATCGTATTTCTTTTTATTCGATGTTTTATAACGGATATATCAAAAATTTTAAGGGCCAAATGCATAATAAATAAAAAAAATTATATAAATACAGGACGTTAATATAGACCCATCTGGCAAAATAAAGATAAGAAAATTATATTTAGACGTGAGAGGATTAAAAAGAGAATTTGGTTTAACCATGCCCTTTCGATGGCAACGATAGGATATTTCATGTATATTGCGGTCTGCCTATCATTCTGTTTCTCACTATTCAAACTATTGTGTTTCTATACCATTCTACAGGCGTAAGAAAAGCTAAAATAACGTGCTGTATATTTCAATTCTGGCACATAGGTGAATACACCTTTATGAGAAGAAATATATTTTATTCCTTCAATGAATTTTGGCAGCTTAAATTAAATTAAAGGCCATTTTTTATCTTATTCTATAAAGAGTTTAAACAAGTGGCTAAATTTTACAGGTTTCTGCACAAGTTTGACATGACTGGGAAGCGAATTGTAGCATTTCGGTCCTAGATAATTTTATGGTTATCAGACATCAGGAAATATCCGGACATGTCCGGAATTTTCTAGTTTTGAACGGGAATTAAGCATTTTCCGGTTTTTTTCAGGAAAATCATCAAACGTATTAAAGTGTACTTAAAATCTTGTATAAACAGTTCTTTAGGCAGTTAAAACGGTAAATCGTAGACTTTTTTTAAAAAAATTTTAGCAAAAATTAGGTATTTCAAAAATTGGGATTTTATTATTTTTAGAAAAATGTACGGATTTTTTGAGAAATGTCCGGATTTTTAGAGAAATGTCCGGATTTTTAGAGAAATGTCCAGATTTTTAAAGAAATGTCCAGAGCCTTAAACCCCATATACATATTCATTATTAACTGTATCTCCATTTAATTGATTTTGTAAATACAGGTACATTATAACCAAGGATATCTCAATTGTGTATTTAAAAATATTGTATAATCAAGTTCAAATGCCACTCTCCCGACAAATATTTTCCACTTTTGGGACCTATAAACTTTTATAGCACCTATTTGTCCTTTTAATTTCGTTAGTTTATAATCTCTTACGCATTTCTATTATTAGGAAGTGCTTTGGATAATATTCCGAACGTAGAAAAACTAAGTGCAATTTCGTTAGCGATAACTACACTACGTATGAGCATATCCGATGCATTTTCCTAATCATTTTCTTCCAAAAAAACAATCTCTAAATATGTCTACTGATTAATATTTTTTTCAGTCATTTATAAGATTTTTCAGTAATTTTGTTTACAATATATATAGAACTCAACACAAAGTTTGAGAATATAATGTGGAATTCCGCAACGTTCTACTACAAGACTGGTATATATAGAATGAATCAACAATAAATTATATAACATAAATTATAAAAATATAATAATAAATGTAATACACAGATTGTACCATTAGAGACAGTCTTCTACAATTAATTATTTTTACAAAAGACAAGAAGGGGACATGCCTCAATTTCAGCAAAAAAGTGTTAAAGGCAAAATCACAAACTGTAAGACCATTACAATATCTCTAAACGAAAAGTTCAATTTATTCTCGCGTAGATGGCGCCACTATATGAAGTCCCGTTTTGAGAAAAGCGATTGAGATCCGAAAAACTGAAATGCAATTTTGGAAATATGAAAATGAATTATCCCCAATTACCCCTACAAAATTATAAAAAATACACCCTCATATACCCAAAATGAAAACAAACCATAGAAAAATTAAAAGATTGAGAATTAAAGAAAGAAAAAAGAGCCTACGCACTAATTTTTTACCTTGATTCAAATCTCTACATTTTCAATTTATATATTGACTGGAGTCGCCAAAATAATGTTTTCTAATTCTGACATATAAAGTGACATTTTTTTGTAATCGCAACAAGCGTCAAAATGACATATTTTACGCAACCAGTTGCATAATGTTCAACATTATGAAACTGGTTACGAAATAGTATATTACACACCGAGGTGGGAAGAGTTTCATTCATGTCGTGAGATTAGTTAGAACACGGAGACGCGAAGCGTCGAGGTTAGCCATGATCTCGAGACAGGAATGAAACTTCCTACCGAGGTTTGTATACTATTTTATTTACAACCATCATATTTCGATCAAAGTTAATAAATCTCTGTTTCGTTCTGAACATACCTAAAATATTACATTTAACGACAAATTACCAAGCGCGCGGTTTTCTCAGAATAATCAAGTAAATATATTGTTACCGTGATTACGGGGTAAACAACTGTCACCAATATAATTAAATTCGCGAATAATAAATATCAATAAGTAGTTTGTTGTATTTTAGTTCATTGTTGTTTTTATTGTTTGCCATTAAATATGTAAAAAATTTGTCAAAAAAATGTGTTATTTTTTTTAAATATAAAAAATATTCATCTAGAATAGATGAAATGAGGGCGGGAAGTGAGGACGGGGAGTGAGGGCGGGAAGTGAGAGCGGGAAGTGAGGGTGGGAAGTGAGGACAGGAAGTGAGGGCGGGAAGTAGAGGTATGTAATGTGACACTTCCCAACCTTCAATGACGTTAGTAATGACAGCATTACATATATGGTTGTAAATAAAATTCATTATGTCACCAGTTGCGAAAAGAAAACAAATAAAAATAAATCTTTATAAACATTTTTTTTTTGGATTTAAAATCAATAATATACATTTTTATTGAATGTTTATATCAAAGAAGAACACAGGTTGAATTATAAAAATAGAATTTGGTTAAATTTACAAACTAGTAATAATGTTGTTTTGGTTCTTATTTTCCATTCTAAATCAGCACAAAATAATTAAAGCACAATACAAGACAAAATAACCCACTTTTTTGAAAACTAAATAACTTTAATAAGCAATATAAACACACAAGTCGTTGAGAATAAATAATTAATATGTTTGTCAATAAAATACTAACAACACAAGAAAGTAATTATTGGTTGCCTAGATGTTAGTTAATGTTTTGCCAAAACACAATTTCAAAAATCTAGTCAAAATAAGAGAAAGGTAAACTTTTCGAAAATATCTGAACAACCTAACATAATGTATATCAAACATCTTATAAATGAGAACTTTAAAGCAGTTAATAATTTTCTGATTAATAAGAGAGTCCAGGAAAATTTATATACTTGTTCTAATATGAATTTACTGAATTTATAGGGTTTGTTTAAAGTTTATTCTGCCGCAATATTATATACTGAAATACATTACTGTTACCCAGCACCCTGCATTAGCCTGCAGCGGTTACAGCAATTGTACGAATAAAAGAAGAAACGGCAATGTCACCCATCACCTGACAGTAAGCTGCGGCTGTAAAAGTACAAATAACCGTCTAGAAATGTCTAGAAATTCCGTGTCAATAAACATATTGACGGTTCGAGAAGGTTCTAGAAGGTTAAAGCGATATAAGTTGATGATCCTGACGTCAGAGAGTCCGTTTTATGACAGACATTTTACTTTCATGTTGTAAGTTCTATAGTTGAATTGTAAAGGTCGAGTTTTAAATAAATTGAGTTACCAAAAAACCAGTGTAACATTGGTGACAGCGGTGGGATATAAAATTAAAGTAACATAAGCATTATATTCATGGTAAATACTATATCCACTGCGTACGAAATAGATATGGACACTTTTGAAGATGGAAGAGGAAAGAGAACAGCGAGAAGAGGAAAGAGAACGGCGAGAAGAGGAAAAGGACAAGCGCAGGAAGGAGAAAGAAGAGGAAAAGGAAAGGCAAAGAAAGGAAGAAATAGAGGAAAAGAAAAGGCGTAGAGAGGAAGAAGAGGAGGAAAAGGAAAGGCAAAGAAAGGAAGAAGAGGCGGAAAAGGAAAGGCGTAGAAAGGAAGAAGAAGAGGAAAAGGAAAGGCGTACGAAGGAATAAGAAAAAGAGAAGGAGCAGAGGCGTATAAAAGCAGAGGTGAAAATTATGAATGGCTTGCTACAAATTCAAGAAAACTTCATGCAAGAGGTAGGTAAACTAAACAGCTGAATAGATCCTTAGCACAACAACAAGATAATTTAAAATCTAATTTATACAACAAGAAACGGCTAGAGTAGGCAAATTGGAACTGAGCTAGTTTAGTTAGAAAGAAGAATTTGTAGCCTACCTTCGGTAAGCAACAGTGAAGGCGAAAACAGTATCTCGTCTATATCTATAACCGAACCAAGCCACATTAAAACCCAGTATAACAAAACCATACAATCAAGACCCTTAAGCCACCCACGTTTGAAGCTTAGACAACATGGGTAACGTATCGACTCCAATTTGAAGCTGCAGCTAGAGCCAGTGGCTGGGCCGAGAAATAGATGGCAGCTTCATTGATAGTGTCGCTGTGAGGACAGGTATCAATCGTTTTACAGTTACTTCCCCAAGTGGGAGCCATTTATTTGTCTCACATTCAAGCCTTGGAGACAAGGTATGATCAGGAGCATTTCAAACGAGTATTCCAAAGCCAGCTAAAGGTTCGTAGTCAGAAACATAATGAGAGTCTACAGGAATAAAGGTTTGAGGAATTTAATTTTACTTTACAAAACTAATATTTTTTGTCAAATAAAAATTAATAACTATCTATTGATTGATATTCCTGATAGTGTCTTAAAACATTAAAATTGTTAAATTTTGGAAGTGATACGAGATTATAATTAAAATTTAATATAAATAATTTTCTTAAATAAATAACATGGATATTTTAAATGCTGGAAAAAGACAGAATTTACCAACTTTATTTGTATCGTATGTTTTGATATTTTTTACACTTCCTATTTTGAGAGGAAAAAGTACTATCATCATTTGGAAAAACAAAAGTTACTGTTCAGCTGAGTGTAAAAAAATTGATGAAGCCCCTGATGGAAAAATTAATACTTTTCACGAAGAAGTTTTAAAATTGATGTACACAAAAATAATTTGATTTGATTTCCAGAGATTTTAAATAAAAATCTAGTGAACTTGTTCTACTTGAAAATATTTTCCAGCTCTTGCAGTTTATTTCGCCAGCTTTCCCAAAAATGTCATAAAGAAATTGGTGCTTGTCAACACATTCTATCAGATATTGATAATGGACCACTGGTAGATATTTAACATCTGGATATTTCTTCGGATATTGAAGATAATGAGAACTGAATTGCATTTTATGTTTATTTTTTCGTAATACAATCGTTTTTACTTTCCTGTCTGTATACAGAAGGAAAGTATAAGAATTGTGATTATCGATCTCGAGTTATCGACGGATTTTTACGTTTTGGGGTCCCCTGAATCCGTTTTGACTATTTTCGCGATGATATCTGTGTGGCTGTATACTCAATAACTCATGAACGTATAAACAAAAAACACTTATTCATCCTCTATTGGGAAGATTAGATTTTGGCATAATCGGAGCATCTTGGCGGTACTTTATATGGGGTCTTTTTTCTACTTTATGTAATATTTTATTTATTCTTGAAAAAGGAAATTCGCCAAATAAAAGTTGCTTGTTAAGTCATTTTCTATAATTTTTACTCTGTACACGATTTTCCTAAAATGATCCGTATTCATGAAATTTGGCAAAAAGCGCAAAATTCGATTTTTTAAAGAAAATTGTTTAAGTAAAAGTTGCTTGTGATGTCATTCTCTATAATTTTTGTTATATACATGATTTCCCTAAAATGGACCGTATTCGAGGTATCAGAGGAAAAGTGCAAAATTCGAATTTTGAAAACTCAAAAACGGATGAAGAGAAAAACACCAAATTTTAAACTAAAGCCAAAATCCATTCTCTAATGGAGTTGATTAGATTTTGGACATAGTCGGGGCATCAGGGGGTAATTTATAGAGGATCGTTTTTCTACTTTAAAGAATATATCTGATATATACGCTTGGAGAAGAAAATTCTTCAAATAAAAGTTGTCTGCGATATCATTTTCTTTCATTTTTGTCTATACATAATTTCTATAAAATGGACCTTAATGAAAAAATTTGAGGAAAAGTGTAAAATTTAAATTTTTCAGTATTTTCGTTAGCAATGAATATAATTTAAAAAAATGTTTCAAGTAAGATATGTGTAGCAAATGTATGTATTTAGTTCATCCTCTAATACAGTGATGATATAATAGGTTGTACAAAATAACCAGGAAAAATCTTAATAATTAGACAAGAAAATCATGTGTTGGATACATCAGATTTTTTTCAAAGAATATCCAAAAACTCAAAAACCGTTGTTACTTTAATGACTTAAATTACACATTTCCAAACTGTTGACTATATTTCCGATAAAAATTTAAAAATTTGATTTCACGATTTGAAAATAAATTAAAAATAACGATTTCTCGAAAAATTTTGTTAGGTGGCATGTCCTCTTCTGGTCCCAAGGTTTTTAATTAATAAATGCAACGTGACTTATAAACAGTAATTGGCAGGGTATAGAAAAATATACTATAACAATCAATACATATTTAATTTTGTTTTAAACGGACTACCAACAAATTTAATTTTAAATTAATATAAGGTCTGTTCAGACACAAGCGAAAATCATAATATTACGGTCCAAATGATGCGATGTATACGATTTTTGCGTACAGCGCATGATTTGTACCATAATATTACGATTTTCGCGTGTGTTGGAATGAACCTATAAAAATTATAAATGAAATATTTATAATTATTGTAGTTATAGAGTTATGGACGGTTTTAAGTCTAGTAACGTGATAGAAATTATAATATTGGTAATCCTGCTAATCTTATTTAGAACTTTGTTTGGCAAGTACATGTTCAACATATCTCAATCACATGTTCATAGACTGCACATTCGTTATTGCATAAACATTAAACATGCATGTATTGTTACAACACAGTTTAGCTGCATATTATTCGAGAAATCATATTTCATGTTGTGGGAAGAGGGGTCCAAAAACATAATTATTTTCTGGAGGGTTTGTATTACACGAATCTCCTGCTACAGTTGAATACCGAAATAATAAGGCAGATGTGCAATGACATATGATATTCTTCACATACTAATTTACTGCCTATTATAACTATAGTTATTAATTTTTGGAATTCAACCGCATTTGCGTACTGGCTGAAATTATTGTGAGCAGTCTGTCCATTGATGGGCTTGTAGAGTTGATTGGGCAAGAAACGAATTGCTGCAAAAACATACCGAGTGTTCACTCTCATACCGACATTAAAGTGCCCCAAAAAGTGTTTTAAAATAAGAGGAAAACGTTTGAATAGGTGAATTGCATTAAAACCGGAGTAGTTTGAAGGTAACTCAGGTGTTGAATATCTAAAAATTATTACACGATTTTATATTCCAGTATTTTTGGGTCCCCTTCAATCAATTTGTTTAAAACCATCTCTAATAGTACAAACTCTTTAAATTAACACTTCGTTTTCAAATTTAATATAGATAAAAGCAAAATAAATAGAAAAAAATCATAATATTCATATCATTAAACTTCTACCGAATAATATTATTTGTACCACTTTGCAGTATTTTAATTCCTAATTTTAATAATAAAATCCAACTATTTTCTTCCAGTAATTTTGGTGTACTTATCTGTTAATTTCGTATTGTACTATAGAAAATAGTTCGAGTTTATGAAAGTTTTAGGCTAGATAAACGAGTTTGATAATTTTGAGCATCAATTTATATACAGCTACCCTTCTTTAAACGGGTACCTCAAATATGACACTATATATTGATATCTAGCTGATTTTGGAAAATAGAACTTCGTAAAATAAATAAATTTACTGTAGGAATACCTGCTCAAAAAATTATCAATTAAAAGAAGCGATTTTTTTGTCTAGGATCTGTGAATATAGTTTTCTGGATTCTTATATACAGGGAGTTCCGAAAAGATTGGTCATAAATTATACCCCAAAATTTTGGGAAATAAATCAATAAATTAAACCCTACCCATGTAAAAAAGTGCACAAAGAGTTAATTAAAAATTTAAATCAATCTAAATGTTACTTTAAAACGGTTTGGCATTAATTTATGAAAATTTATAAAATAAATAAATCCCATATAATTTTTCATAAATTAGTAAGAGCAAGCGAGCAAGACTATTTAAGAGCAACGTCAAACAAATGTATTTAAATCTTTAACTTAAACACCTTGTAACTGTTTGAGTGCACTTTTGTACATCGTTTAATCGACCTTTTTGACCCCAGAGTATGTGGTGTAATTTATGACCATTATTTTCGGGAAACCCTGTATATTATTGTTGCTTCTGTATGTGTTCGTTCAACAATAAAATGTGTATAAACTAACATTTTTTTCATTTGTATAATGATTTCTATTATCAATTTTTATTACTCAATCACTATCAGTTCAACTAAAAACACAGTTTGGTTTCTCTGTTAACTCAAAATAAATACATTTAAAAACGTTCTATCTTTCAAAATCCGATATTAAATATCCTACTTAATCCTAATTCATAGAAAAAATGTTTTTTAAAGCTATTAGAATAACCTATGGTTTTGATACAATCGATTTTTATCACTTAAATGGAACTTTGGTATAAAACAAACATCTATTAAAACATCTTACGGACAAATGACAACAAAAATCAATATAAGATCACTCTTTTCAGATCTGCGTAGTTAAAGCTATACGGAGAGCATTTTTGGACTTAAAATACTTAAAGGGTGTCTCAAGCAAAAAAGTATTTCAAAATAATAAACCAAATACGTTTTGTTACTACTCTATACAATGCGACAACATTTTCCCTAAGGACTGTAAATATTTCTAATATTTATTTGTTAATCAAGTCGAAATCAATTTCATAAATTTTCCATTAAATTTAATAATCATAATTTGCATAAAAATTTATAAAAATACCATAATGTGTGCTAAAGTAAAATTTGCGACCGAAACCTGCTCTGTATACGACAAAAATCTAAATAAAATCTGTCAATTTAGAGTCATCTTCCATAAATTGCTATAACTTTCGTAAGACGAATTTTCCGATGTTGTATTACATGATTTCCAAAATTGACTGGACTTTTCTGGAAAGCTTTATGAAGTTAATGATGCCTATTCATACTTTTATGGGAAATTATACAATGTGTTAGATAAATGTGTACCTAGTCCGCAGTAAGAAAAATTATCTTCCCAGGTATTATAAATTTAATTCGCAAAAAATCCAAACTCTGGCGACAGTATAAGATAGATAATGATATTCATGCTTTTGAGGAGTTTAGACGCATAAGAAGTCAAATTAAAGTTGATGTCGATGGAGCCTATAAACAATATCTTGAAAAAGCTGAATCAGAAATATCGATTCATTTCAATAAATTCTGGGCTTACATCAATAATAAAAAATGCTCCAATAAAGTTGGTAATACCATGATTTATGAAGGTAACTTTCTTCTTAATCCATCAGTTTGCTACCTTTTTTTATTAAATCTTATGTGCAGTCTTCAGCCACAAATATCCCAATAAACGAAAGCCACATGTATCACGTAAACATTACTATCTTTTAGGGAAACAAAGTATTAGATACTTTAAAATCAGTAAAGCCCAAGCGGACTACTGGACCTCACCATATTCCTGCTTTCCTTTTAAAAGACCGTGCTGTAGCACAGGCTCATCCTTTAACTGTACTTATAAATACCTGCATCAGGACTAAAACCATACCGTCAGTGTGGAAAGAGTCTAAGGTTTGTCCCATACATAAAAAGGGAAATAAAACTGAGGTGGAAAACTATCGCCCTATCTCTAGCATCTGTAGCTTTAGTAAAGTGTTTGAAATGTTGCTGGAACGTACAGTTTACCAACACGTCCGCAACATAATATCGGATCGACAACATGGATTTGTAAAAGGTCGTTCAACAGTTACAAATCTCTCCATAATTACGCAGTATACTTCAGAAAAAATTGACAACCGAACTCAGATGTTATTTATATGGATATGACAAAGGCATTTTATCAGCTTGACCACGATATTTTGGTAAAAAACTAGCCTCTCTTGGACTTTCAAACAATCTTATTCGGCTTCTTATATCATATCTCACCAACAGATCACAATACGTTCAATTAAATGGATTTAAGTCTGATCAGTATTCTGCCACCTCCGGTGTTTCTCAGGAATCAAATCTAGACCCGTTGGTGTTTAACATTTTCGTGAATTACATCATGGTGGATGTGGTTGATGTTGATTTTTTAATTTACGCCGAGGACTTTAAATTTTACACAACAATTAAGAACGTCGCGGATTGTGAAAGGCTATCTAAAATATTCTAAGAGTTATCGAATGGTGTCGGGAAAATAACCTTAATTTGAATCCCCCGAAGTGTAATGTCATGTCTTATTCACTAAGCTCTGATCCAATTGTTTACAATTACCGAATAACTTTGTGGATTTGGGCGTTACTTTTGATTCAGCACTATCATTTTAATGACCACATTGACGGTATATTAACTGCAGCAAGCCGCATGTACGGATTCATAATTCGGAACTGTCGGGATTTTAAGAATGCAAGTAAGTTAAAGTATCTTTATTATGCGTTTACCCGCTCAAAGCTTGAATATGCTTCGGTTACCAGATTAGAGGCTCTTCAACGATTTCTCAAATATTTAAGTTTCCGAGAAGACCAAGTGTATCCTCCAATTGGCACCCCATACAACGAACTGTTAGTAGGACATAGTTTTTCGAGTCTTGAAGCAAGGCGCAAGTATTTTTCAGGGTTACACTGCTCAAAATCATAACCAACAAAATAAATTTTAGGATTCCCCGCCAAATATCTAGGTCCAATGATACTTTTTACTTGACCACTCCTCGCACGAACATTTTAAACAAATCTCCATTATATGTCATGTGTAGTAATTGCAATAGCATTAACTCTGAGTTGGATATATTTAACATTAGAATTTTGGACATAAAACATTTGCTATATTGGACATTTGCATAGATGTTTTTAATTTTAGCTTGTACCCCTCCAACAATACCACTCATTATGGAAGCACCATCGTAACTTTGTGCTATTAGTTTTTCAGGTACTTTGTCAATTCCTAGTTCACTTAATACCTCCAGAATTGCCGCCGAAAGCTCGTCTGCAGTGTGATCCATTGGTCTCAAAAAACTCCAAAACCTTTCGTAAATCCGACCGTCTATTACATATCTGATTATCAAAACCATCTGCATTTGAGCTGATGCATCAGTTGTTTCATCAGCCTGTATGGCGATATATTTAGCAGCCTGAATATCTTTTTTTATTATGTCTTGATAGACGTGTAAAATTGAATGGGTAATTCATTTTGAATGGTTTTTGATGTACCTTGAAACATTTTATTTTTTGTGTTACTTAAGTGTGCCTCTAACACACTATCCATTTCAGCCATTAAATTAACTAAACCTCTGAAAATACCAGGATTTTCTGAGGTTGACGTTTCGTCATGCCCTCGCAAGGCAAGCTCAAAAGCGCCACAAAATTTTATGCAGTCAATTAATTTGGACAATATGTGACGGTTGCTGTCAACGGCCTTATTATGGTTTTTTATAGAATCGCGGTAATCACTACTTAACTGACTACGAATGTCCACTCGACTCCAGTTCATGTTCTAAATGTTTTTTGGAAACCATGTGGGATTTCGCTTCGCTGCCCAAATGTTTCAAATCACTTACCCCGTGCTTAATCCAACTAAAGTCACCCATACTAGATTGTTTGCCACTAAATGCCAAAATTTGTTTGTCACTTCGGAACCACACAGCCACGAATACTTCTCGTAAATTAAAACTATTAAAACTACTTTTAAATGTACGTTTTTGTACATTTATTTATTTGCTCAATCTGCAAATTCGGTATCGGTCGTTAAACGATAACGTACCTTTAAAATATTTTGTACGGAATTCCCCGCAGAATTGATAATAACATGTGATATATAATGTGAAATAACAATTGTATATTACACTTATCAAAACGGATTACCGAAATATACGGCCCCAAAAGATCAACAAGCAAAACCACCCGGTAGCGCTAAGTTGAAGGTAAACAAACAAACAATGGGTACGGCACGTCACGATGAGGATAGCGCCCCGTTTGTGACGTATAATCCACCGCATGTGTTTTCGCGTCATAATGAGAGAGTAAACAACAGAGGCACACATTGACTGTGCCCTGTACCTATCTTCCACTTAATTTCGGCATTCTCGGAACGTCGCTCAACGCCCGGTCGTCCAGTGTCGTGCCAACGCGATTTGCGCTGAATATTAGTAAAATAATAATAGGCATTGAGAAAAATATAAAATATGTAAGTTATTTTTTTTTTGGTTTATTATGCTAGGGCACGTGCCCAAGAGCCCTTACGGACCAACCGCCACTATACAAAAGCGCATTTTGCCTACACGACAAAAACTAAGGAGACCATAATGGAAATTTGATCAACGGTGGGGCCTCAAAGTTGAATTAAAGAAAAACCTTACAGTGCGTCACAGCCGCAAATTTTATGCAGATTAAGACTTAAAATTTCGTCTGGATACTAAAGAAAATACAAACTGAACAAACAGAGAGACACCTATACAAAACTTTTTGGCAAGACCATTTTCGGCATTACGTCCGCATCCTTTATCGTATTCTATAAAATTTTATATTTATAATATCTACGGCGGAGTTTTTTTTACTTAAGACACCCTTTGTGCGGCCTTAAAATGAAATTACAACCTCTCAAATTTCCTATCATACTGTCGTCCCATATGTACAAAAGACAACCCTAGTGCTGTCACTATCCAAAGTGACGTCTTCAGGACTGGCAAGGTCTACGCGTACGCTACCCGAATTTTGGCGTTTCCTGCCACCCCAGTTGCTCAGAGTCCAACGATAGGCCCCTTCCGACGATTCATTCGTCGACTCTTCTATTGGCTGACTGTCCAGTGTATCGGAACTGGAACTCGTAGTGCCCCCAAAAGAGTCCGCCCCGCCCTTGAATCTACCTATACCTGATTGAACAAATTAAAAATTAACCTAAGACAGGATCCAATATTAACCTTCCGGGACTGGTGCGCGGATTCTCAGTACGCAGCGCTTTTTATTTGCCGTTCGCCGCGTAACCCACCCTTTCCCAAAACGGTGCATTTCTGTATTCTTTAAGCATCAAATTAGTAGTAGTATCTCAAAGATTGAGGCGTGAGTGTATTTTTGTTTTTATTCCGGAGTGAGAGTCCGCCTCCAGTTGCCAATCCCATTTTTGACTACACTATTAATATATGTGGAAAGTTTATGTGTCTGGAACATTTGACACCTATATGTTTAGAATGTCACAGTGAATAGTTTTATAATAAGTTTATATTTTTTTGTTTATATTACGTTGATTTTATGTTTTTAGTAGCTAGTTTTAGGAATGTTAACCTTTTCTGATGTATTTCTAATAATGCCAAAAATACATGTTCGTTTATGTTTTTATGTTACAAAATTATTGTTGTTAAATTATTTTTGATGCTTTTAAAAAAACAAACAAAATTATTTGCAAACTATTTTATAATTGGCTCAAATCTATTATGTGATTCACAGTCCTCCGCCATCGCTGGATCACAAAAATTTCACGCCAGTCCCGGAAGGTTAAATTTATCAAACTGAATAACATAAATACTATAATTTTTGAAATAAACACGAACTATTTGCATGCATTGCTTACCACTATCATCAGGTGACACATGACTCTCTTCGATACCCCTTAAAATACTTTGACAGGTGTCGGACTCCAGAGGAATTGGATCGTCCGAATCTCTGTTGTAAACCGTTACAGCGATATGAGCTGGATGAGGAATAGGAAGCGGTATCATCATTTTGTCTGGCGAAAAAGGACGGCTATGTTTTTTCCAAGGCATCCACAGAATTGCCTTACAGCTCGGCTTCAACGACCCCAATACTGCAGAAGTGTCTCTGAGGAGGAAATTAGATAAAATTAACGTTTTTAAATTTAGCGCAACTAAAAATTAATGTAATTGGTTTAGTTTTTTTTTGCTGTAAACAGGTCATTGAAATCAATACGATTTCCATATAAAACTGGTTATAGCGTGTTAAATACCTTGTATACGCTTATATTATTTTATATAAATAAAACATTTCCTTGGTTTATTAGGACGTTTTTATTTTCTATTGTTTAGCACAGCACTACATATGTTTCGGAAAACTTTTCCATCTTCAGGTGCAGTTAAAATTTATTAAAACATGGGGACGATTACAAACAATTTAAAAAAAAATTAAAACAACAGAAATCCCATCTTTCTGTTTTAGCATGTGGTGTATTCGAAAATTCGAAATAAAATCTGACTGGTACCAACACAAGATTTAAATCTCAATCGTACGATAATGTTCAATAGTTTAGCCTCGTCAACTTTAGTTACCACAATATTCGGAAAGATAGAACTTTCTATCTGATGCAACAATAGGCAGTCTCCATATATTTGCAGATCCACGAGCCCCAACACCAACTTCAATTTTCCGGCAAATCGACATAGCTCTGCCTTGCAAAAACTGTGTTTTCTATTTTTTTACTTTCCAATGTGAAACATGGAAAATATTGAATTGAAGGAAAGAAACTTATTCGCTGTTTTTCACGAGGCTCCTGTATGAGATATAAATTAAATTTTTAAACAACTACTTTTTAAAATTTCCAACAATAAAAATTAATTAATAGAAACAATTTGTAATTCCAGTAACACAAAAGGAATTACTAAACTATATTGAACAAATTTAAATTGAGTTTCTAAAAATAAACTTACAACTAACAAAAAGTAGAAGTGAATTTTAACCCCAAAAGCTGAGCTTGTGCGGGGAAAGGGACGGCTATTATTATTATTATTATTTGCCGTGCCGCTCCGGGGCGACTTAGAGATGATTGATGGTGCCATTTGACTTACAGGTGAGGAAAACCTGGAAAACCTCACCCACCATCATCGAGACGGTAATGCATGGCGATTTTATAATCTGCATGTCATATCAACAGAAATTGAATTTCTATTAATACGGCACACATCAAATCCTAAACCGAACCATGCAATTTAATTAAAAATCCACTTGGTCCGGTCTGGGACCCGAAGCCCAGCAGTCTCTGACTCGTAAACTTGCCTATAAATGAATATAAGCGCGTTAGACCGCTACACCACCGTCCCGATATGATCGGAAAATGAATTTCAAGAAACTATTTAGACATTGACTGCCAACTAGACTCCCACTTCACAAAATTTCCCTTTCTTAGGAATATTGCGTGCGGCGATATTTAAATTTTAAATTAATGGAATACTGTTTTTATACAGGATGTCACACATTCAAAATAACATTTTTTAAATGAATTTTTAAAATGTTACAACTTACTCTGTTTTCTCTGCTTTTTTTCCAGTCGCCGTGAGCTTGTATCGCGGATTAAATGCAGACACGTCCAAGTATGGAGAATGTACTTGAATATTTCCTCTAGGAGTATACACATTACCCAGAAGATCTGGCCCTCCTGCACCTAAAAAATAAAATCCGAAAGATGTAATTAATTTAAAAATCTATCATTACATTAATAAAAATGTACAAGCAAGAATTGTTTTCCATTTAGCTTCAAAGACTTACAATTTATTACCTTTAAGTATTCATGAATGACAACAATTTTTCATTTATAAAACAAATTGATTAATTTATTTTATTTTGTATTTACTATTATAAAAAAATTAATATTACAAAATTGTTGAATTTAAAAAATAAAAATCATGACAAATATGTTCTGCACAAAACATTTAGATGCAAATTTATTAAGTATGTCACCCGCGACGTGTTTTTTCATTAAAAAACACAATTTCACTTGAAATAACAATATTTTGATTTAAAAGTAAACATTTTTCAAAGGTATGTACAGGCATCACAACCTAATTTGTCTGAAGAGGGGATGCGCGTTAATCTCGAATTTCAATTGTCAACCCCTACTGTAACTGTTAAAGAGAGATGCAAATAATAGTCGTGTTGTCGGGGGGTGATCAGTAGATGATAATATTTTCTTGATTTTGTGTTTGTGTAGCGTGCAGATTTTGAGTTATATTTTATTTTTATTTGTTTGTAGTGTTTTCTTTTGAGTAGTGACTTACTTGTGTTAAAATGCCGAAACATTTAGGCGATGGAAATAATATTTCATCTATTCGAATATTTTATGAAAAAAAAAAATGTTCCTCGGCAACAAATAGTTTAAAAAAAAAAAAAAAACAACGATGATAGTGAAACTTATAGACAATGTGTTGTGAACGATGATCCCAAAACTCTGAAATTAAAGAACAAGTTGCTAAAGCTACAGGATACTCGGTAAAAACAATGGGCCCGTTCACTTTCATTTTTGAATGTGAATTATTTATATATTTATAAAGATATTAAACTCTTTTGTCTGGTGGTACTTTTCCCGTTAAGATATTTTTGCTAGAAGTAAGGGAATTCCCATAAAATTCTTTCAGTGACTCATTGCGTCAGAAAACCCCTAATTCCCTTCAGGTCTTGTATCGGTTAATAGTTAAAAGGGCGCGGTTGTCGGATGTATCATTGCACCACCATTCCTCTTCTGCATTTATTAAAGAAATTTAAATGATAAAAAAATATTATTTTTTAAAAATAATGTGTTTATATTTTCAGATAAAGCTGGAAGGCTTACCTTTTTTAAATTTTAATAAAAACAATTAGTATTACTCAAGCTGAATATTACCAGATCGAAATTTTATTTGAGAAAATGTATCTGGTAAACGTGACAACGTTGTAAGTACTTCTAAATAGTGTTGTCTACACACACTTCTAGAAATAAATGCAACGTTGCCACGTTTACCAGATAAATATTGCAAATCAAATTTCTACTTTTTGATTATGGTCTGGTTAATTTTCAGCCTGAGTAATAATAATTGTTTTAATTAAAAAGTAAAAAATAAGCTCCCAGCTTTAAATCTGAAAATATAAGTTCATGATTTTTAGAAAAATAATGGAATTTTACTATTTAAATTACATATAAATGCAGAAATGCTATATTAGGGATACTTCCGACAACCTCGCCGTCTTTCAGCATAACCGATACGAGACGTGAACGGAATTAGGGATTTTCTGACGCAATGAGTCACTGAAAGAATTTTATGGGAATTCCCTTACTTTTAGCAAAAATATCTTTACGGGAAAAGTACCACCAGACAAAAGAGTTTAATATCTTTATAAATATATAATCAATTCACATTCAAAAATGAAAGTGAACGGGCCCATTGAACGAATAATTATAGAAGGTGAGATATCAAAAGGTGAAAAATCTACGTCGACCATACCTAATCAATTGTTTAAAAGTCCAAAAAAGCGCAAAAAACATCAAGTGTAAAAGATATTGGAACAATCAGAGATATAGTTCGTAGATTTCACGAAACAGAAGATATGCGCGTAACAGTCAAAACTCTTAGTGAAAAATTAAAAAAGGAAATTGAGTGGAAAGGGATCCACACATCATTAAGAACTATTTTAAAAAAAATTGGGTTCAAGTGGCGAAAAACGCGAAACAGACAGGTTCTAATAGAACGGCTTGACATCATGGAAAAAAGAATAGATTATATTAAAAAAATTAGATATTTTCGTTTTCAAAACCATCCCATTGTATATATTGATGAAACTTATATACATAGTAGCCATACATCATCACATAATTGGGGTGATGATAATGCAAAAGGTTTGTTTTCCACCATTTTGAAATTAAAAAGACTTATTATAGTTTATGCTGGTGGTGATATGGGTTTTATTCCTAACAGTTTATTAATGTTTGTGTCTGGGGCCAAATCTGGTGATTATCATAATGATATGAATCAAGAAAATTATGAAAAGTGGCTAAGAGAACTGTTAATACCAAATTTACCACCAAATGCTATTGTAGTTGTAGATAATGCACCGTATCACAATGTTATAGAAAATCATGCTCCGAATTCAAATTCAAGAAAAGCTGAAATGATAAACTGGTTGACGTCCAACAATATTGAATTTCAACCTTCCTTATTACGACCACAGCTATACACATTAATCAAACAGCATAAAAATAGATTCAAGCAATACAAATTTGATAGATTATTCTCCGAACACGGTCAAACAGTTTTGAGATTACCACCATGCCACCCAGATTTAAATCCAATAGAAATGATCTGGACTGTAGTAAAAAATAATGTAGCTATAAAGAATATGCATTTTAAATTAGCACATGTACAAATGTTAGCTGAAATTGAATTTAAATCAGTAATCCAAGAAGACTGAAAAAAAAAATGTGCAAAATGTAATAGCTGTCGAAGATAAATATTTAGATCGCGAAATTATAATGGATGACGTTGTAATTCCTACAGTTATTATTAATGTTAATGAAGACAGCAGTGATAGTTCTAGTGATAGTGATGATTTTTTAGAACTCTGTTAATTTGTTTATGTTTATTTTGTTTGATAGTAGTCATAGCAACAAGGAATAGAGGAAATTCAGTATTTGTTGACCTATAACATATTTTTAAAAAATCCCCGTTGTCTTATTTTAATATTTGTATGCTGATAACTTTCACCACTTCTACTTCACCCTCACATTTTGTTAAAATATTAAAGATATCAAGTGCAAAATCACCATTTTTTTTTCACCCAATACATTTTAGCTCATAGATAACAAATAAATTTTAACAAATTCTGTAGTACTTAAAAACGTATTTACATAATTTCATTTGATCCATTGTGTAGGTAATCTGGTTTTTCCTATAATACCATTAAATGATAGCCATTCTTAGAAACGAGGGTGGACTCGATTTGACCGTTATTAAGGATTAAAATTTTAGGTAATTTTCTTAAAATTTTGTGATTAATCTGGATATCTACTGAACATCCCAATATCCTCTGAATGTCCAGTCCATGGTAGATATCTATTTTGTATCCATGAAATGTAATTTATAGACATGCAAATGTCCATAAATAATAGTAATCATATAGCAAATTATTAAAAAATTACGCCATTGTGGCTAATAGTACCGTTTAGATATTTAAAAGAGTCGAGAATTTTCATTTATTGCTGAAGAATCCTAAGTGGGCAAAATCAAAGGCAGAGTGTTGAAAATATTTTTTATCTTCTGCTATTTTCTTTCGACGTTATTCAATAATCATTGGTTACTTATGAACCTCTAACTAAGATACCCATAAAATATTTTGCTGAATATCCGAATATGTTCTATATCCTGGGATATAGACGGACATTTGGTTGGATATCCATATTGGATATATTGAATATCTACAAAATATATTCTGTGGATATCTGTGGGATTTCTTGTATTTTCTGGAAGATACCCATTAGATATTTTGCTAAATATCCATTAGGATATCTTCTATATTCTGAATATAGACGGACATTTGGATATCCATATTAGATCCACGAAATATTTCTGATATCCTGTGAATATATTGGATATCCACAGAAGATATTCTGTGGATATCTCTGGGATTTGGTGTGTTGTCTGGGTGATCGTTTTAAAAATCCTAGAAAATTTATTTTAAGCGAAAGTAGTACGCTACTGAGCTTTAATAGTAGCCAGTAAGATCGTTTGAAGGTGTGTCAGCAGTGCGCAAACTTTACCCCACTCTTAGATTCTTAGAATATTAATTTTATTTTATATATATTTTAATTCTACTATAAATACTTTTGTCTTATGTGTGCCTGTTGGGAAACGTGTGAAGTTAATGTTAAATTTAGTAAGAACCAGTGGCGTAGCCAGCAATTTTTCATGAAAGTGGTTTTTGAGAACTAAGGGCGGGGGGGGGTTCCATCTGACCACCAACCCCCCCGTGGTTACGCCATTGGTGAGAATGGTCAGTGATATACAATACAATGACTATTAAAATTTACTTAGGTCCATAAATATGATAGAATTAGAATTAAAAATGTTTTGTTATATAACTGTTAATTATTTGAAATAATTTGTAATATTTCAGTATGTTTTTTATCTAGATTAAAGAAATTTAGTAAGTCTTATGAAAATATCTTTGAAATTTTGTTGAAAAGCCTGTTTTTGATATTTAATATTGTACATATTGTAATATTGCAATAATATAGTATTACTAATTCTAAATTCTCAATAAATTAGTGCTGACTTTTTATTTACCTAATTGAGCACACTGTACCATCTCAGTGTACCTCGACAAATCGACCTGAGGATGGGAATCTAGTCTGAAACTAGTATCCGTATGGTCCAACGGCGTCAAAAAATCTAAACTAAACAACTCTGAATATAGAAGCCCGGCTAATCCTGCCCAATCGCCGGGACTTAGGGCTCTATTATCCCAAAATTGATCTTCTGTGCAACCTATTTTCGTTATAATATGTTTCGGATAAAACCGCTCCAACATCAACGCGCCCTGCTGGATTGCGATCTAAAAAAAAATGTTTTATTACTGTAGAAAACTGTAACTTAGAAAATGGATATTTAAACAAAAATACTATCGAAAACAACTAAAAACACCGAAAAGAAGCAGACAATTAGGTTTTCCGAATAAAGATATATAGAGTGTCCCAAAAAAGTAGGCCATGCATCTAAACGTGGACATAATTTTTATTTCCGCATCTGAAATTAGATGTAAAATCACTTTACCTTCAGTATAAATCAATATTTTTGATTTTGCCTGTATTATCACTATATATTTTACAAATTTGATTCTAGATTATTGATTTCTATGTGATGTAGAACCTTTTATGAAGATTTTTTTTGTTAAATTAAAAAAAATCCCGTTTGTTGTCAAAATATTGCCAAACGAAATACAGTAAGTTATTATAGGTATTGCTAATATCGTCAAAAATCACAAAATACATAAAATTTTCCACACAAAAGTGTGTCACGAAAAAAAAATCCTTTTGACCGCAAAACTCGCACACTTGTTATAATACGGACAGAAATGACAGAAATCAAAAGGAAATCTTTTGAATTGGTCGTTTCACGTATTAAAACGCTAAATAGGTGTAAAATAAAAGAAATTAATTATTAAATAATCCAAAAACCTAAATTAAAAACAAATAGTAGAAAAAAAGTAAAAATATTGAAAATTCGAGAAAAAACAACTGAAATGTGTTAAATATCCCTTAAAAGACATAATTTTGATTAAAAATACAATAATTAAATACATTGTTTTAATAGCAAAACTCTGTATAAGGAGAAAATAATAAATAACTAATAAGATTCTATTCTTACCTTCAAATCCGGTGTACTTAATTTCACTTTGCTCTTAACAGAAACATTCAATCCCGTTTGCAAATCTCTTCGCCTCTTTTCCAGTTTTTCGTGCAAAATCACCATCAAATCTTGCGCTTCTTTCTCCAAACTTTTGTATGCCCCGTTTTTGGCCAACTGCGTTGAAAAGCTACCGAAACACGCTTCGACGAAGTGACTAAAATCCTTCTGAGGTTGCACGATGGTACCTGATCAAAAAGGTTTTCTTTAAAACTACATATTTTATATCAGTTAAACGTTTATAATTGGCAATTTTCCTTGCTTGTAAGTAAAATTCTTCTTCTAACTGCCAAAAAGTCTAATTTTATTGGGATACCAGGATGTTACAAGTTTCTTTATACGAATCCCAAGTTGACGTTTTTCTGTATACAGAAGTCATTTAAATAAACCTTTTCCAATAAATTTTTCAAAAAAACTCAAAAATAAGAAACTTACATTAATTTATTTGAAGATGTATCCAAATAGTCCACTATGATCTTACAAATCACTCGTATCCTCAGCCCGTTGAGACAAATTAATGAAAATTCTAGGTCTAGGATGTGCTCGCAAAAAAAGCGTTCGTTCACTGTACAACACCGATACAGCGACTGAATTACAAAAACGTAAATAATACTGCGCGAGTCATAAGAAACACAAAAAAAACATTTACACTTCTTATTTAGCATAATTTTTCATACACAAGTCCTGTCCCGGATTTAGATTTTTAATTCTGTATATTTCTTAGTTTTGAGTTTTTTTAAAAAAGTTATTTGAAAAATATTTTTAATTTAACTACTTCTATACACAGTTAAAAAAAGTATAAACTTATATAGAACAGAAGACAAATTAAATGTTTTATTTATTTATTTTTATCAGCTTTTTTTAACATGGGGCAGATATAATGACACAATTTAAGAACGGGATTGTTACATACCTTCTACAACTGTTTGATAAGCTGCCAATTCATCCCACTCCATTTTGGCTTCGAAAGCTGCCAGCGCTTGTTCAGGACTAATTTGGAAGTAGTAATCAGACGCTAAGCCAGGCCCCGCTATTCTTTTTACTACGAAGCTGTCGCTGGCAGGAACACGACCGCGTTTCTTTATTAGCATATGGAAGATGAACGCGTCCCAAAGAAGACGTAGCCAATAACGCATGAAACCACCTAAAAATAAAAGTAAAAGTTATTGGCTGTATACACCATAAGTAGAGGCGAAAAAAAAAAAACAATCATTGGTACTTCTCTCAATGCTTAACAAAAGCTACACCCACCTGCCAAAATTATGAGTGAAACCGCCGGACACACGATAGACGCTACAAAAACGGCTACCAAAGGCTGAAGACATCCCTGTATGAAAATATTCCAAACCAAAGCTTCGAAGACGACGAAAAATCTGTTCCTTTTCTGCTCGGGACTGTCCAAATCGTAAATTAACAGATTTGTAACTTGGACAGCAAGCGTAAGCAAAGGCATCCAAGCAACTGAAGTTATGGCAACGAAGAGACTGGAAAATGTTACGACAAAGCAAACTATTGGCAAGACGAGGACTATTAGAGCTGTTCCGAATAATCTAAAAACAGAGAAAACATAACAATATTTTTCAATAACTCTGTTTACTAAGATACTTACCCTTTTATAAAATAATTCCAAATCCGATTTAAATGCCTTGTTAATCCCTTTCCGATGAACCCTGTGTCCGGTTTTGTTTCGAAGTACGTCCTACTTTTAGAAATGTGCCTCCAAAGACTCAGCAACCTTGACATTAACGTCGGCGTCAAGCTACTCTTTCTAGGGAACAAGGTTCCGTTGACCTGAGACAGTTCCAAATCCGCCATAAAGGGTTCTAAACAGAAAAGTGCTCGGAGACCAACTGGGCTGCACCACGGCAGAACAATTCCGAAGAAAAACATGGCGTTCCAGGTCCAGCACCACGTGCGATGAAAGTAATTGAATATTCGCCAAAGAGGCCAACGAGTTGTTGTGGTCCTGACAGTTTCTTTTTCGACTAAGAATACCTAAAAACATGAATATAAGTGTAGAGAAAAACTTGAAACTTGCCTAATAATTAAGGATTTCGTAGCACAACTAGGATGCTAAAACTAGCTAACCCGGACAAAAAGCTTGCTAGGAAATGATTCTAGAAAAAGCCGCAAAACTCTTGACATGCACATGAGGCGATGTCAAGTCATTAATCATTTCTCATTTTGTTGTGGTGCGTTATCTAGCTTCCCAGTAAACCACAAATCACAAATAGTCGGCATTCGCTCGGCCTGACAGCGGCATGTACGGGAAGCCGAGTACTTGGATTGCCGTTATCGGCGTTTCTTCTGAGCCGGGAGGACCGTACCATTTGACGTAATTTAGAAGTAGAAACCGCGTATGGTCCATATTTGGCGTTCCAGACATGGGAAGCATCCTTACGGGCCGAACGCGGTTAATATTTGGCTAGCCGGGCATGGGAGGCATCCTTACGAGCCGAATTATAATTCGACATTCGGCTGGGCGGACATTACCTACCTATATGCCGAAGCTTCACCCGTATATCGGGCCGAGTCCGGCATCCGGCAAGCCTCTTTCGGCCTAGTTACGGTGGCGATAAACTGTGTTTATTGGGCCTAGCCTTTTCCTAAACTACCATGATGGACGTACATAGTTTACTTGAAAATAAAAATGTCTCGCGCCAAAACTGAGTTATGTGCTGTGAAATAATCAACATAATAGAAAATAAATAACAAATGAAAATGGAGAAACGACTAGAAACTTTTGGTATTAGAGACTACTGTATTCCTTAACTGATAAAATTAATTTAATTGCATGACCATTATGGGTGCAATATTAATTAGTGTGTTAATGTGTGTTACGTAACACACCCCCACAAAAAAAAAAAGTGTTCGGACGTCGCAATGGCATCAGTGGTATTTTTATGTACTTTTGAATTCTGGAATGAATACCGTGCTCGAAAAGTTTATGGCCAACTTAAATTTCATGTTGGGGACCCAGAAAATAGCCCCTCAGGGGCCGGAAAATCGTATTTCGGACGTTGCAATCGCTACAGTGGTATTTTTATGTCCTTATTTATGTCCTAGTTCTCGAACTCAGACTGTGCCCGAAAAGTTTATGGCCAACTGGAATCCCCCTTTGGTACCGGGAAAACGACCCCTTAAGGGTCGGAAAGTCATGTTTGCGAATAGATTTGACGTCGAGAAGGTTTCATCACGCTCGGTTACTGCCTTAATTCGAGAATTACTCCTATGTGATAGTTTTCCCCGGTATCTAAAATATTCCGAATGCCCCATCCACCTATTCTAATGCGTCTATCCTTTACCCATGTATACCTCTACACTCGATTGTCAAGTATAAAGAGTAATTTAAACGATACAGTATAGAGTCCCCGGCTTTACTTCCTCATACGGAAGTATATACATACAGTGAGGTATACGGGGATCTCTAATAAGACACAGTAGTCTCGATTATGTGAGGGAAATCCTCTCAGATGACGTTCAGGCCAGAGTTCCGGTACACCAGGTCTCCGGAGGTGCGTTTTCGTGATGGAATTTGGATTCCGCGTGCCTAGAAACCCACATGACGATTTTCGGTTTGTCTTTAGCGATTGTGTCTGGAGAACCCTCGGAGGCGACGTTTCGGTGAACTAGGTGTTCGGGGATCGTTTTCGACGTGAAATTTGGACCAAGGGCCCCAAAAATACCCCTACAAGGTTTTTCGGCATTTTTGGCAATCTTGGCAAGAATCTTCTAGGAGATGACGTCCACGTGCCGGTTCCAGCGCACCAGGTGTCCAGGGGGTGTTCGCCGATGTTATATTTGAATTCAGCAACACAAAAAAAACCCCTGAGCGCCGAGTTTCTCGCCTTACCCGCATGAATTTTGGGATAGACCCCGTAGATAACGTTCATCGGCGTTCCTGAGCTTCAGGTCGGCTGTGGTTCAATTTGAACATCATAATTGGGATCAGCGACCTCGAAAACCCTAAAGAACTCGATTTTTGGCCAATCCTGACTCTTCCACCTTTCAGGCCATATAGAGGCCAGTTTTGGTCCCTGGGGCCAATTCCAGACGTGGAGGGTCATTTTTGAGCTCGGGATCGGATTCAGCGTCGAAAAATACATGGGAGTACATATGTCCTACCGGCAAGTCTGAACACTTTTTTTTGTGGGGCTGTGTAATATATGTATGTGTGTCAATTTTAGGTCTAGTTAGAGTACGGAACTAAAACAAGTGTTATTTATTATGTTAAAGTATTAGAAATTAAAAATTTAAAAAAACCGACTTCACAAACGTGCAGATGCCATCACCACATCTTAACCAAATTTATATGGGACCACCCCTGAGGTACCCCCTTGCTAACAAAAAAAAGAATCATATAAATCGGACAAGGTGGTAAAGCATTATCGCTAAACATACATAAAAAATGATGTTTGATGATTTTCTCATGGACCCAATTATTAGATTTTGACCAAATGTATATAGGACCACCCCTAAAGTACCCCCTTTCTAACAAAAAAAGAATCATTGAAATCGGACACCGCGTTAAACAATTATCGCTGAACATAGATAAAAAAAAAAATATTGCGACGTATTGAGAACCACCTCCTTGTTTGAAGTCGGTTAAAAAGATATTGAGTTAGACGAGAAACAGCTGTTTTGACATCAAAATCAAAAATGATAAGATATTTTATATTTATATTGTGCTGAACTGTTGCTTTGGGTGTGAAATTGTTATATTGTGTGCTTGTCAGTAAATCATTAACTCAATATTTATTTGCATGTGTATGTCCTGAGGAGTCAAAAGCTGGCAATGGAGTTTTAAATATTATAAGTATCATTAAATTCTAATAAAATATCGATCGAAAACATAATTGAAAGTACATTTTTTTCTATACTGATATGATAGTGATATAGTGTCAATAGAGAGATATTGAAAATTTCTATAACGTCAGCCACTAATAGTGACAACATAATTAGAGGCAAATAAATTTCATGCTAAAATAAGACTTATTGCAAATCTGAAGTTTTGACATTAGAGTCCTTGTCCTTATACATATTTCTAACCTCATTTTAAAAACTTTAAATTACAGTTCATCTTTCTTGTTGTCTGTAATAGTACGTAATATGGAAGAGGCATTAGAAATTACCATTTTAGAAGATTTAGATGACGATGATAGTCGCCACTATCTGCTATCCTTAAACATCCACAATTAAGGACAGGCACAATCTTTAAGTTGATTAAAGTCAGTTCTAGAAAGTAAAAGATCTGTGCATGCTCAGATCAAAATAAGAGCGGCACTAGTGAACTTGCAATATCTCTTTCATATTGAATGTATGTGATTTTGTGAGATTCTACATAGAGTAAATGGATATATAAGAGGGGGAAATAAAGTTGGCTTAATGGAAGAATATGAGGAAAAAGAAGGAATAGATGGAAGATCTAATGCAAATGCTCATTGGAATGAAAAGAGAAATAAATAAAAATAGGGAAGAATTAATTAAGAAAATGGATGAAAATAGTAAAAAGATGGATAAAAACAAGATGGACAAGTTAAAAAAATAATCCCAAGAATTGAGAGAAGATAAAGAAGAAATTATTCAAAAGGTAGATGAATTTAAAATATACACAAAAAGCAAAAAATTAGATAAAACTGAAATGATTGCATCAAAAACAATTTAATTGTCAAACTTCTATCAGCAGTAATATCGAAAAATAAAAAGAAGGGTTGGAAGATTTATAAGAATTGTTAGATTTTGTTTAATGGTTGCATTAGAATTTGTTAGAAGAAAGATATAAATTGTAACATTTTAAAATTCCATTTAAAAATGTTATTTTAATTGTGTGACGTCCTGTATAAATTAGTATGAGATTGATTTGCCTTTTAATTATCGGTGATAGCAATATGCTTAGAGAGGGAAATTTCTCTAGGTGGGGATCTGACTGGCTCTCGATGATTCGAACCTTTTTATTAAAATTCATTTCTCATCTTATCTCTAATTACCAGTTCAATGTCGAGACTGTAAAAGATAGCGGTAAGTTATAATAAATGTCATTTTAAAAATATCTCAGTAGAAATTATATTTTTACGTATTGTTACTGTTTTGAAAGTCAATTTAAATTTATTAAATATGCTTTAGTTATTCATTTTGTGAGCTGGATTTACACATTGTTTATATTAATTAGTTTTTGTTATCCTGATTTAATTTTAAAAAAGTAATTCTTTAAAAGTTAATTTATATATCATACAAGAGCCTCGTGAAAAACAGAATTTATTTTTTGTTTAGGAAGCGAATGTAAGCAGTCTCTTTTTAAGTTTTTCCTTTCTATCAAAATTCACTGCTATATACTCAACTCTAACATTTGGAGCTATTTCAAAGTAATCAACTGGAATGTTTTGGAGCTAAAGAGGACAACGATGCTCTCGATGATGGCGACATTCCAATCTTAGATGGAGATCTTCAGATACATAGCGGTAATTAAAAATTCACGAGACTAAGAAATGTTGATTATCGTATGATAACAGTTAAAATTTAAAGTTGTCGGTACCAGCATGACAAAATCATTTATTAGTTAATCCCGGTATTCATTTAAATTTGTAAAATAATATTTCATGCTTAATAATTTGGTATTGTTAAATAAACAAATTTATTTATATATATGTTGAATCTTATTTTTTTTAAAGGTTACACCAATTCTCCTTTACTTAAATTATATATAAGTTTTAATTAATTTTCTTTTGATAAAGCTAGAGTTTATAATTCTCACTAGCTTCCTAAAAAATAAAAAAAGAGAATTATTGGCCTCCCTCTCTTCCAGAAAACTAATTTCCCCAAGTGTCTATTAGAAAAGCAGAATTCACGACTGAGAAAACTATATAGTCAATGTGCTTATTTCTTTTTTTTTTATTTTATTATAGGTAATGTTTGGTGTTAAATTTCTATGAGCTAGTCAAAATTTCGTATAAGTGTTTTGAAATTAACATTTTATTGCAAAGTAACGCCGTTTTATTACAAAATATAAAGGAAATAAAAAAAATGTTATTTTAAAAAGGGAAGAATTAAATTGACTGAAGCAGAAATGCGAGGAGACTAAGTCAAAGGAAGCCTCGAGAAGAGGAGTACCTACCACCAAATAGGCAATGGCAGAGAAGACGTAGCACAGCAGAAAGAAGACTTTTTATCATTCCTTCGTGATCATTTCAAAGTTTAATTTAGGTACTATAATATTTTAGATAATTGAACCCACCCCGGATTGAGATTGATGTTTGGTTGAAAATTCTAAATCCCATGAGGAATTTTGTATTTTGTGTTGCCTATATGACATTTTTATTTCATTATATTGGTAAATGAGGCATGTGCGAAAATTATTCTGCGTGTTAAAAGCTGTATACTAAGAGCCAGTGATCACCAGACCTACGTTATAATATGAAGGTTGGTAGATAACAGGTCCTCAAGGTACCAAAAAATGTCGGAAAAGTTATAATATGAAAGCTGATTTTTTATTATGTTCCAACTAAATGACATTATAATCTCCAATGAATAATTGGAGCGGAGGTTACGTTTTCCAGACCCTTTGAAGGTGTCGATAAATATCTGTACCATACAGGGTGTCCCATTAGTGCGTAATTATTCAATATTTCAATTTGTGTTCTAAACACGCGAACAAGTTTCAAATAAAAGATATGAATTTGAAAAATATATATTTTAAAAATATTTTTGAATATAAATGGTGTTGCATTTTTGCCTGGCAAATAAAAATGTATATTTTTTAAATAAAACACCTTATATTTTATTTAATTTTTAGAATGGTGTGGTAATACTATATTCAATACTAGAATTTTTTTAAAAACATTACACGGTTGCAAGCAAATAATTTTTTTATGAAATTAGAGAATGATACAGGCTGCAACATCCTGTACAATATTTTTAACATTTTTAAAGCAAAACACCCTGCAGGTAGTTATACATATTTGATTGTTTTACATTGTACGTGATATTTATCACGCTTTGCAGAAAATATATTTAGCTTGTACTGTATATTGAATGCGTGAGATTGATTTCAGCTAGCCTGAACAGGGACGGGTTAGGAAATGCTGCTTAAATTTAAGAAATTATTATGAAATTTAAACACTATTTGTTGAAATATTCTATTTTTTTCTGAAATAATTTAAATTATTAATTAGACTTACTGGTTGACTAGGATCGGATCTAGGTGTGGTAATACTGGTAGCTTGCTTGCTCAAAACTGTAGGAACGACTTCGGATTGGCCCTGGAAGTTTCTTCTGACTATCCAATTTTTCGGTAACCAAATTTGCGTCGGCCACAAAAAATTTCTCGTCGGAAGTTTGTCTTTTCTCAATTCTCTAAGTAAAGCTGGTTCTCGTTCTTTCATAAATGTTAAATCCCTTAAAATACAGATGAGTTCTTTAAAAATTTGGTTTTATTTAAATTTCTAGGAATTTACGCAAATTTAATATGATTTTCATACTGAAGGAACCTAAATCTATACAAACCTATTTAAAAAGTAAACCGTCTGTGATAGCCTCTGTGAGTTACATAACATTAAAGCCTCTTCGTGAGCACTCCACTCATTTTCCTGACTAAATTTCTGCTCAGCTGCCCTTAATTTCGCTCGCAACCACGGCCCAATCCTCGATAAAACAGGATTGTAACTGCATAGCCGCGATTTCACTTCTTCTTGTGATTTATACAGACGATGTTGAACGTTTTCGACCGCCCTGTGCATCAGTACTACGCTTTGTGCCTGTTGAACTAAAAGTTGCCCGAAATCTTCACCCAAAGCCATTATATCCGGATGAGACAAAATGCCGTTGTAGACTCTTTGAAGGTATTCTTTCATAACAGCTTCGTTAACTTCCTGAAATTAAAAATAAACGAAAATAAAACGGTTTTAACGAGATATATTAATTATTAATTACCCTTTCGATATCTTCATCAGGCATTTTTTGAGTCCGCAATTCGGCTATTAATCTCTCTCTGAAATGTAAAAACCATCCCCTGGTTTCGCGTTCTAAAATCGCTACTAAAATAGGTAATAGTTTTCTCATTAAAGCTCTGTCCCATAATCTCAAATCGAGTTCTGATCCGGAAGGTGTTAAAAATTTATAAGGAACGGAAACAGGAGGTTGAGTACATTCTCTAGTGACTTCGAATTTTTCCGTAGCTGCGCGTCGAAGTTGTTTGCGGATGAAGGAGCAGAGAACTTCCAAAGATTCTTCATTTTCAGGCTAAAAAGATAATATTCCTGCATTATGATGTAATCAAATAACTTTCAAGATATATTTCACCGATTTTGTGTAACTGTAATAATATCACACACGTGTTCAGAGTTTTATCTTACTCATAAATCTTTTAGTTTTCACTTTTTGAATTCAAAATAAAAAATCTTAGTTGACTAAATCAAAGGGACTGTATTTTACAATGATATTTAGGCAAAATTTATAATGATGAAGATGAAACTAAAATTATCATTGATTTGGCACAGAATTCCGACGAGGAAGGCCGTTTCAGTGCAGAGAATAATTTTAAATTTATTATTTAGAAATTTAGAATAGTATTTCGAGTGTCTATTTAACTTAATTTTATGTTGCCGCCACTGGTACGTTAGTGATCCTATACACGCTAGGATCGGGAAATTACAATACCCTTCGAACATGAAATATATATGCTCCAACTCTATATCGAAAAATATGTCTATGTTAAAAATAAATACAAATTATACGTACGCGACAGACCAACTCAGCAACAAGATACTTGTTTCTTTCTTCTCTAAGCTTGGTGTCCAAATTATGCGCCTGCAGACTGGGTATACCAATGAAAACATCAATAATCCTCAAAAATCCTACCAACAGTGCTCTAGCTGCCTGCGAAATGCTGAAAAAATGCGACAGCAGTCGCCCTCTAGCTGTAACCACTATAAATCTAAGAGCTAAAGCTAAATCGTTGAGTAGAGAATCGTGGCTGTTCAATAATCCTTTTTGCAAGAGCTGCGAAAGCTTCCATCTGTGTTTCTGGCCAGGAAAATTCAGTGATTCTACCTCGAAAATGCTGGAAGAATTTACATGTTTACTAAATCAATCTATAATACTTTGTTAGTTTTCAAGTCAAACAGTAAAACTTGCACAGATTTTTACACAGACTGCTAAACAATTTTTAGATAGACATGGCAAAAAAGCTTAAAACAAAATTCAAAAGTATAACAAACAAAAATTTGTTGTCAAAAACAAAAAAAAAAACACATCATACAAAGAAAACAATAAGTTGGTACCATATTTATTTTATTTATTGTAGAATCCAAAAATAAATAAATCAGGCCCACGTGGATTTATTAATATTATCTATTAAATGTTTATATTAGTGGTATATGATTTAAAATTACACCTTTATACGGGCTGTCCTAAATTGTTTTACCCAGGCAATAACTTCTAAACCATACAAGATAATCGAGCCGAGCAAAAATCACCCAGTATAATTGAAGGTGGACTTTAAAACAAATGAAGATTTGACGACACGTCTCCAAAAACCATTCCCCTGTAACCACCCCCTCAAAAATTGTTAATGACACCCTATTTTTTTTTGACCCGGCGTTATTTTGGAAAATATTAATATTTAAAGTTCCTGAACTTGGTTAAAATATTTACCATTCTTTATGAAACACCCTGTATATGGTTAAAATCACAAAAAAATATAAAAATTATTCTAAAAAATAAATTATCAAAATTATTCAATATTTTTTATCAAAGTTTCCCCTAATATTTATAAAGTTATTTATTTGTAATTTGTTTTTAAAATTATTAATATTAATTTTTTATTAATTTTCATATTAAGACATCGACTGATACTAATCAAATTCCTATTTCACCGCATACAATTTACATTTATATTTTTATAGGAAATATCTTGCCATTATGATAAGAAAACAAGATGGAGATTGAGGAGAACCAAACAAGGTTTAATAAACAAGCACATTTGTTTAGATTTGAGAAACAATGATTTGTTAACCTTTTCCTTGTGACTGTTGAAAAAATAAATATTGTCAGTGGCGTTACACAAGCATGTATCGCCGTTACTGATATTTAAAAAGACACCCTAAGGAGAATTAGATATATATTTAATATTAAAAAAATTGTGGTTCTTTTATACCATTAATATTAACTATAAATGCTTGATATACCACATTTTTTTAGGTCATATCCATCTGTCAATATTAAAAACAGTTTAAAATTATTTATTTTTCATCTAGAAAAATAATATTTTAACACATTTTAAAATCCATTCCACCAATTTCGTGGTTATATGCACAGGTTGATAAGTTAATTCTTTTTGAAATCGTTAAAATAAACATCTTTTTCAAATAACTTTATCAAGAAGACCCAAAAATAAAAACTTACTATAATTAATTCCAAAATGTATACAATACTGTCCGGTATAACTGTATAACAAAAAAATGTTGATGTTCATGCGTTATAGGAACGTTTTGCAAAAATAGGAAAATGATCAAGTTCAACTTGAAAGGAATACAATTGATTTTTTCACACTTTTCATTGACTTATCCCATCTGATATGCAATAACCCGCGTACTATCTAACAACAAGTCCCCGATAATATTATTATTCTAAACGTACTTAATTTTCAATTTACCAAATTAAACAGATAAATACGCTACTGACCTACTAACATAAATCAGGCCACTGCCTTACAATATTCGTGATTCTTAAACGTAAAAAAAAAACCGAAAAAACATATTTATTAATTCGTTTAATCTACCGTACGCAAGTTCAAGCTCGGTTTTAGATTTATTAATTATTTATCTTTCTTATTTTTGAGTTTTTCAAAAAAAATTATTGAAAAAGATGTCTATTTTATCGACTTCTATACACAGTTAAAAAAGTATCAATTTAAGATCCACCCTATGTATATTCTTGGTTATTATAAACAATTTAGATAAGGTCTGAAATATTATTTAATAATAAAGTGTCACTCATATCATTCTATTAATAAAAATTGTTTGTTTTCTATACAGTATTTATTCCTTTCGTTCCTTTCATTTGAACCATACTGTATATTGTTTCTATTTAAAAGAAACAACACAGTCCCAATTACTACAATATAAACAATTTGGTTTTTCATTAATTAAAAGGTAGAAAATTAATTTACTTGTTCATTCTTATAGTATTTGATTTACCGAGAATTCCGAATTAAACAAATGGTATCAGCCGATATTATTAATAAATTTATTGAAGAAAAAAACAACACACGGCAAAAAATAATTAATACAAACAAAAGAATCAAACAAAAACGCTGTAGAAAAATAGATTTAGATAGACAATCCACAGTCAATCGAAACATACCCATGAAATCTAATACTTTCTAGTTGTTCCTGGTTCAATCTTTTTGGTTTTCCAAATTTGTCCTTGTGCAAGCTTTACAAAATAATAGGAGGGGTTATGAAACAATATAAAACGTGCACTTTATCTATAATCATAGATAATGATCTTAATGCAGTAGGATATAAATGTTATTAAAATGTTGAATTATAAAAGATGAATAATACAAAAAAAATTGGTGTTTATAAATCAACAAAGAACAGTGTCGAATACCTAAGATTGTATGAATTTCTATGAATTTCTATGAATTTCTATGAATTTCTATGAATTTCTATGAATTTCTATGAATTTCTATGAATTTCTATGAATTTCTATGAATTTCTATGAATTTCTATGAATTTCTATGAATTTCTATGAATTTCTATGAATTTCTATGAATTTCTATGAATTTCTATGAATTTCTATGAATTTCTATGAATTTCTATGAATTTCTATGAATTTCTATGAATTTCTATGAATTTCTATGAATTTCTATGAATTTCTATGAATTTCTATGAATTTCTATGAATTTCTATGAATTTCTATGAATTTCTATGAATTTCTATGAATTTCTATGAATTTCTATGAATTTTATACATTCTGGACAGGATTAAAATTATTGAAAAAGGGATTGATACGGAAAATGTTTTTGAACAAACAACAAAATTACAATTATTTGGACTTTCCCAAACTATTACAGAATTAACTCGTTCTAGTACGTTTTTGTAAATGACTTACAAACACATTTTCCTACCTTTGATTCTGGTCTAGGTATAATTATTTAATATACGACAAAAATTTTAGTTAGTCAATTCAAAATACTTTAAGCTTACCCTCTTTCTCTAATGTATTCGAGTTGCTTTCCAGTTAATCTTCTCGGTTCTCCTTTACCATCTACAGCGACTGCGTCCAATTCATCAAACGACGGCGCTATGAACAGATCCCTGAGGTGATACTTTGTTTTGCATCGACCTAGAGATCCATCAGAAGATACCTGAGATGTAGTGAAGAGATCGCAGTGAGAAACTGGACTAGGTAGAACTGAAATAGAGTAATAAAATAAAGTGTAAATGTAAAATATAGATGAGGTAATTAAAGAATTTACAATTTCTATATACAGGGTGGCTCACGCTCAACGGGACGGAGCTTTATGGGAAAACGACCAAAGATATAAAAAATTCGTTTGGGAGGAATACGTAGGTTACAGACGGCTACAATTTAAAATTTGTTAGATGTATACAGGATGTCCCACATAAGAGAAAATATACAAAGTTATATTATTTTTAATGGAACACCCTGTTTTTTATTTTAGAATTAAAAACTACATAAAAAATAATGTCAGTTAACTAAAGGTTCCCTATTACTATTATTATTAGTTTTCGATTTATTTGAATTTTTAAGGAAAAAAAGTCTCCCAGAAATTAATTGTTTACTCTTGTTTGAATAATTTTTAATGAACTAATTTTTTTTTCTTATGTGGGACATCCTGTATACATCTAACAAATTTTAAATTGTAGCCGTCTGTAACCTACGTATTCCTCCCAAACGAATTTTTTATATCTTTGGTCGTTTTCCCATAAAGCTCCGTCCCGTTGAGCGTGAGCCACCCTGTATAAAATCAAGTTTTTTTTTTTTTTTTTGGGTTACAAGGATAAGAATCAAGTGTGATGGCAGCACTTTAGCCTTTGGGGGCGACAGTACAAATGTCCCAAAGTAGCTCAAAATCGGTATTTCTAAAGTATCACTACATTTTAAGTTCAAGTTGAATTTTTATTATGTACTTTGGGAAGAATGTACCATATCATTTATAAAAATCACTACGTACTTATTGATTCTGCCATCACTAAACCACATCCTAGATAGTTAAACAAACTTTTACTGTTTACCTTGATTACAACTTTAATAAAAAAAATGCTTACTAATAGGAAAGGTCTTCCAATGATACAAAAATTGTTCCGCAACTTGTTTGATATTATTAACCAGTTGCTCTACTTCTGGTGGAGCCCCAACTAGAGTGACATCAAATCTCAAAGGTTCCCTCTCCGGTTGCAGAGGATCATGGCCAATTATACCACTGTCGTTAGACCTAAGAGGATACAGAGAGGTCGGTCTAGCTGGGTAGTGTTGGTTTTCTTGCTGAGCAGGATGGAACTCTAGTCTAAGTGAAGCTGAAATAAAATTTAAATATTTTTTGTTTCATGTAAATTGCAGGTGTACATAATCATACATAATTAGGTGTTTTGAAGCTTAATTTATTAGAGCAGTGTGCGTAGAACACGAATAGGTGAGTTCGAATCCACCCGTGAACAGATTCCATTTAAATTTATCTAGTAGTGTGTTGTAGAGATTTGGATTTATTAATTTTTTTTGGGATTTAGTTTAGTTATTAAACGTTTATTTCCAAAATTTGTGGCAAATCTAGTGTTGTGTTCATGTATATCAGAATGTTTTCCAAAAAAAAACCTCTTTCATGGATCTCTACCAAAACATAAAAAAGAAATAATATAGGTTAACGCATTATCCTAAGTTTGATAAATAAGTTTTATAAGGTTCACGAAATCCGACATTACACAACAGTCTTATGGCCTTCTTTTGTAATTTGAAAATGTCTAAAGCAGAAGAAGAAAGAAAGTCATTTTTAGTACATCAAAACTTGTTGAATTTTTTGACTACCGTAAAACAAAGAGTGCAGTTGCTAACTGACTTTTTAGGTATAATATAATAATTTTTATTCAAGGGTGACTCATCTGCGAATTGAATTGAGGTCGGCCGGCAGTAATGTATGTTTCGCAGATGAGTGACCTTCAAATAAAAATTGTTATACTATAGTTCACGAGAACATTCCAAGTGAGATGTTCATCTACAAATAAACCAAGCAGCTTTACACTTTTAGTGACCCACTAGTATACATAATCAATCTATGTTTTTAACAGGCCAACTTCCTCAGCAATGGAAAGTTTCAAATGTTACACCAATATTTAAAGCAGGTAAAGCTTCTCAGTTAAATAATTATAGACCCATTTCGAAAATAAACAATATTACAAAAAATTTTGAACATTCCTACAAGAGAAGATTAATGGAGTTTCTAAATAAAAATGATGTGATAACAGAAAGACAATTTGGGTTCATAAAAAAATCAAATACCGAAAATGCCATAATGGACCTTGTCAATACCACAGTGGAGAGCTTGGAGAGATCGGAAAAAAGCTTAGCTGTTTTTCTTGATCTGGCTAAGGCTTTCGACACGGTTGATCACGACTTATTAATGAATAAGCTTAATAACTATGGCATCCGGGGTGTCGTTTTAGAATTAATAAATAACTACTTATCTAATAGAACCCAAAGAGTTAAAATAGGAAATAAATTTAGTTCAGAGTCTATAATACAATTAGGAGTACCACAAGGCACAGTATTAGGACCTATTATTTTCTTAATTTACATTAAAAGTATCAGTAAAATAAATAATTTCGAAGGTCATATAATATGCTATGCAGATGATACTGTAATAATTTTTACTGGACCTACATGGGATACTGTTAAATCTACCACTGAACATAACATGAAAAGCGTTTACAAATGGTTAAATAATAACAAACTTTTTCTCCCACCATTACAGATCAGCCAAAAATGTTTAATATTAAACTGCATAAACCATCTTGTGTTGCTGCCAATAATTGTGACTGTTTTATAATTGAAAAAACTAAATCTCTCAAGTACCCAGGAGTTATTGTTGATCAACATTTATAATGGGTAGATCACATCAACTATGTTTCTAAACGACTAAGAATTTTAATACACAAATTTTATGAATTACGGGACATCCTAACGAGCAAAAATTTAATGATTTTTTACACAGCTCTTGCTGAATCTATAATTCAATACTGCATCCCAGTATGGGGTGCAGCATTCAAATCAACTCTATCACAATTACAAATTTCACAAAATATTCTTAAAATAATTTTTAGAAAGAGTAAGTATCATTCCACAAATCTTTTATATCAAAAAACTAAATTACTAAATATTCACTTAATATATGTTTACAACTCCCTAACCAGGATGTTCCATGATTCATCAAAGTTCACTACCTTGAATCATCAGAGGGATATTCGGTCAAACACTAACTTTGATATTAAAACTGAACTTTTCCATAAAACTGCTACCCAACATTCCTTTATGTACTATGTACCTAAATTATCATATTAGGAATGCTTATATTCTATACAGAGTTTGGAGTCATGCAATGCAGTTCACGAAACAGACTTTCAAGCCTAATGTGATGCTGCTTTTGTCTGACTTCCATTTGTATTTAATATTTTCATTCTATAATTTAACATTGTATAGAATATTGTAATGTATTAAAACTGAATAAATTAAGTTGAAATTGAAAAAAAAAAAGTGTCACCCTTTGAGTAGGTAATAAAGAAATATAGATTTTGTGTTTTATCATTATTTTATTTAATACTATTTCCTACAAACCATTATTTATCTTTCGAGTATAAATCTTTTGATAGTAAATGATTACTCACAAAATCTTTAGAATAGATAAATGTGGAGTCGTCTGCAAATATAGCAGATTTGTAGGGATGAATAAATTTTGGTAGATCATTAATATAAATGATATAGAGTAAGGGCCCTAAGACGGAACTTTGAGGAACACCGTATTTAACTGGTTTTAAGTCAGAATAAGTATTATTACAATATATAGCATGAAGTCTGTTTGTGAGTTGGTACTCGATAAGTGCTAAAGCTGTCCCTCAAACGCCCTAGTAATAGTTTTTCCAGTAAAATACTATGAGCAGAGACACAACACAATCAAAAAAAGACTGAAAAGTCACACAGGTTGATAGCTCTATGATTACCTGCTTCAATGTCTTCAGCTACATCTTTCACAATACTCAGTACTGCATTTGCCGTAGAGTGGTCTTACCGAAATACGAACTGAGATTTACTTAAAAAATTATATTTATTAAAACACTCATATTAACGATCTTTAAGAATTTTCAAGTATAACATTTTATTTATAAGTACGCCATTGGGAATACTTCGCGATGTTATATGTGTCTCGAGAATATTGAGAGTTTTAAATTAGTGCAACAATATAAGACATTTTAGAAAAAAAAAAAAGGTGGGATACCACCCCATTTAATTTAAAAACTACTGTACATTTATTAAAACAAAAAGCAGCAAATTTTCATAGATTTAATACAGAATGGCGCGTGTTTTTTTTTTAAATTCATTTTGAAACGGTTTACAAAAAATTCAAGGTTTCTCCACCTTAAGTTTTGTTATTATTGGACTAAACATGAAGTTTCAAAAGGAATTATAAATTTTCAAGGTGTTCGATTTGCTCTTAATAAGTTTCCTATTATTTTACTAAAGACAGAGATTATTGAAATAGGACGGTATATAATTATCTGGCTGAGAAGTATCCTTTTTTTTACTTTCCTGTCTATATACAGATAAAGAAAGTATAGGATATAAAGAGAAGAACACCAAATTTTAAATTTAGGCTTTATCCATCCTGCGGTAAAATGATAAAATTTTGAGCAAAGTTGGAAAATCTGAGGGTACTTTATAGAAGGTCGATTTTCTACTTTATGTATTATATCTGTTATTTACACTTGGAGAAGAAAAGTCTTCAAATAAAAGTTGCTTGTAATGTTATTCTCTATAATTTTTATCATATACATAATTTTCTTAAAATGGTTCCTATAATTTGAGAAATTTTACAAAAAATGCAAAATTCTAATTTTTAGAAAAATTGTCAAACTTAAAGTTGTTTGTGATACCGATCTCTATAATTTTTTTTTATACATGATTTCCCTAAAATGGACCGTAATGGAAAATTTTATTTTTTAGTATTTTCGTTGGCAAAGAATATATGTAAAAAAATGTTTCTCTAAACATTTACAGGGGTGATACAATAGGTTGTACAAAATAACCGGAAAAGCTTTAATAACTAGACAGGAAAGTCATGTGTTGGACACATCAGATTTTTTATATAGAGGAAGGATTTTCGAAGATTTATATGCATCTGAAAAAAGCCGATATTAAGAATAGTTAGAGGTTTAACAATGATATCAGAGGTTTCTTTAATAAATAAACTATAGTTATAGTAATTGGAATAAATGAGAAAATGGAACGGTAAAAGATAGCCCCTCCCCCTCCAGATCACTAATAAAAGTGTGAAGCTTCTGACTTATTTCGCAGGATACAGGATCATTATCACAAACTAGTAATTTTGATTGAGACGCTTTTGAAAAATTTTATCCAAAAGACATAAATAACTGCAAAAACTAACGATGAAATTTCCTGAAAACTCTGTGAACTACCATATAAATGGCGTAATAGGGATCTATAGAATGGTGTGTAACATGAGCATGCACTTTGAGTCAACCCGCTTCAAGCTTCACGCTTTTATTAGTGATCAGGGGTGCCTACCCAGACAACACACCAAATCCCAGATATATCCACAGAATATATTTTGTGGATATCCAATATATCCACAGGATATCAGAAATATTCCGTGGATCTAATATGGATATCCAAATGTCCGTCTATATCCAGAATATTGAAGATATCCTAATGGATATCCAGCAAAATATCTAATGGGTATCTTCCAGAAAATACAAGAAATCCCAGAGATATCCACAGAATATATTTTGTGGATATTCAATATATCCAATATGGATATCCAACCAAATGTCCGTCTATATCCCAGGATATAGAAGATATTTGGATATTCAGCAACATATTTTATCTTTAGTAGAGGTTCATAAGTAACCAATGATTATTGAATAACGTCGAAAGAAAATAGCAGAGATAAAAAATATTTTCAATACTCTGCCTTTGATTTTGCCCACTAAGGAGAAAGTCATCCTTATTAGGACTCTTCAGCAATAAATGGAAATTCTCGACTCCAGTCTCTAATGGAGTCTGATTAGAACACAAATTTCGATCGAACTTAATTACGGCGGGTCGAGCATGAGTAGATGCGAAAGTGGTATCGCCATCTATACTTAGTAAGCAAAATCAAATAGCATCTAGTGGATATCCACGATGGTTTGCGTTCGCGCCTAGACTTTGATATATTTAGTGGATGTCCATGGGATATTGAATACACCTTAAAAAAAATTAATTTTAAATATCTGAACGGTACTATTAGCCA